GCTGAGGCAGAGAGGCTGTGTTGGCAAACTCCCACCCTTCAGCATTTGCCTGCCCTGCCCACACCCCCTTCTCTGTACCTGCTATTTAGTTTTTTATTTCTGAATAAGGATGAAAAAAAAAAAAGATTTGTCCTAAAGGTGGGTGTGATGGCTATGAGTAGAGAGCAAAGGTGTCTTGGGCTGTCTAGATCAGGGAGAGGGGTCTCAATCCCTCCATTCCCCCAGGTCGGTCCTGGTGGGGCAGGGATTTGAAGGAGCTTCTCTGGCACCAGCAGAGCATGAATTGCAATGGGGTGAAATAAGTGGGCAGCCTTGCAGCCAGTCCTGTACTAATATTTCCCTCTCTTCTGCCTGTCTCCCGGCTATGGACCTTGCTGCCCGTGAGCAGACGTTAGCTGCAGATATTGGTGTTTATGACGAGGTTGGGGTAAGGTTGTCGCCCGGCGTGGCATTGCCCAGGCTGCTGCCCTGGGCTCACAACGGAGAGCGTGGCTGCAGCTGGTGCAAGGAGCTGGGGTCTGCTCCTCGCATTCCTCCTTGACAAGCTGTCCTTGACCACACACATAAATACGTAGGAGCCAAACCTGTTGTATTTCTTATTTTTTGACTAGCTTGGTGTGTAAGTGGCAGTGATGGTTTGCTGCCCGTGTGTGTGTGTGTGCAAACCCATGTCTTGAAAGTGTGCGATCGCTGGCCTAGGGCACCGATCCCCATCAAGCCTTTAGCTCTGCTTCATCATCTTAGAAGTCCTCCATTCCCCCAAGGCATGGGAAGGAAAGGCTGAGCTCCAGGTTCTGGTATTGCAGAGTCAGCAGCTTTTTTTTTTTGCTCACAGCTGTTGAGCATTTGAGAGAATATTTGGGCCCCGCTTGTATGAAGCAGTGAGATTTGCATTGCTGGAGGCTGCGAGCGTTGGATCTGGTTTCCCATTTGTCCTTCAGGATTTCATGCTGAAGACATTTAATAGAGCTGGAAAGATCGTCTCCTCTTGCTGGTCTAGTCCGCTGGTGAAATACAGCCCCCAGACAGATACAAACTCAGCTGCCCCAGAGCAAAGGCAGAAGGGGATTGCTGCATGATGTTTCCAGGACAACATCTGCATGCCAAAGAGGTTGGGAAGAGATTAAATCTGTTGCTCACCCAGGAACATTACACTGGAGAGGTTAGGCTAGTTGGTTTTTTTCCCCTCCCTCATAAGCATTAATAGATGAATACTGCTAATAAGGTCAATCCGTTTCCTTGGCAATAGCAGCTACTGGTGATGTGCTCCTGCTTAATGGAACATGGGAGTCTGCATTTCTGAGGACATGAGTATCTCCTGCATGAGCTTGGGAGCCTTCTCCTCTCCTGCTGCTGAAACAAAGTGTGCTGAACCCTAGGAAAGTGCCAGAATGTTTGTACCCAACTGCAAAGTGAGTCACAATTCCGTGCAGTTTCATTGCCTCCCTCTCGGGGTCCTCTTGGTCCTTTAGGTCACTTTGGCATTTGCAGTTTTCTGCTCCTCTCTGGTGAGCAGCAAGACATGCTTCTGGATACAGTATCTTTGAGCTTCCTGATGTCCCCAGCAGTGTTTTGTGTGACCTCCTTGCTTGGGGGTGACCATCACCAGCCCTCTTGCCTGCTCCCAACCCCTCTGTGGAACATAATCCTCATTTAAAATAATCACCTTCAAAACACAAACAGGGCTTGTGCAAACTCTTCTGAGATAGTGCAGCTGGAACAAGCCCTCTGGAGCAGCTGGCATCAGCCCTTTCGTGCCTCTCTCCTTCCTCACCTACAGCTGTGATTCCCCTCGGTGCAGGCTCTTCATCCTGTGCAGAAGGATTTCCAATTACATTTTTCTTACTGAAGGCATGAATTTTCTCCCACAGACTACTTTCTTTCACGCCTGGGCAGCGCTCTGTGGTGCCGGGGAAGATAACTAACCAAACCGAGCTTGGATGTTTTATGGACTTTCTTATTTTATGGTGACAATTTACTCCCCTCTGTGACAAGAAATGACCTTGATCAACTTTAGCATTCCAACAGCAGTGATTTTCAGTGCTTGAATCCTTCTTCTAGGGCCATTTAAAAACTTCTGACCAGAAGCAGCAGCCCAGTGTAGCAGGGGAACATTGATTATATGCGATGTGAATCCCAATGTTGTTTTGATGCTAGTGAGCCGGGAAGGGCCACAATCTCAGGCTACTTTCTTAAAAAACCCTCCACTTTTTACTGAGCCCACAGGATCACCATCAGCCTGAAGTGCCATAAATGGCTAAATGACCTAATCCACACTGTGAGGAAGACACTGATTAGCTAAAGCACTCTTTGTTTTTATAACCGAGTAACTGTCTCTACCAGAGCTGTGGGGATTTTATCTTTTCCTGCGAAAGCCAATAATTTGGGGCATGCTACAGCACGCACAAATATATCAATTAAAAGCTCTTTCTTTTTATTGCCCTTTCTTGGAAGGGCTAAATCCTCTCTGGGCACGGAGATCCTGACCCAGTCTGTCTGTACCAGCAGAGCAGTGATAAAACATCTGCACGGAGCGAAAGGCTGAGCGCTGGGGACAAAGCCTGGCAGCCAAAAGCTGAGCCGGTGGGCGGTTGGTAGCCCTTTGCAGAAAGCGTTTGATAAACGCAAAATATCTCCTGGTTGACTGATGTGTTTCACAGCAGGTAGAAGCTCAGCCGGAAGGAAACCCACAGCAGGACCAGTCGCCTGGTTGGTTTGCGTCGGTGAGGGAGCTGAGCACGGAAAGCATCGATGAGTGATGCGGTGCTCTAAATGCAAAATACCTCTGGTTTATGAATTTGCACAGCCGGGCTGGGGGTCCAGGTGGATGCTGAGGCCCAGGATGGCTGGTTCCTGTGCAAACGCTTAGCACAAAATAAAAAGCTTGCAGTAAGGCGCTTGTGATTTAAATAAACGGAGGAGTCTGAGCTGTGCATAAGGAGGGGAGCCCAGTGTATTGAGCAGATCAATGCCTGACCTCTTAGAGAAGAAAGTGGTGGAGTTTCTTTTTTGCAAGGAGAAATCTCATCCTTGGTGAAAGAAATAAATCTCTGTGAGGGCTGAACTACTGGCACAGCAGGACGACACGTGCAGGTGATGAGGTGGATTTGCTGCCCCTGGGTGTAGGTGTAGCCCTGCTGCCTCTCAGCCTTCCCATACGAACAAAACACACACGCCAGGTACAGCGACCCTTTTTTTAAGCACCCTGCAGCGCTTAGCACTGGAATTTTTTTTTGTTTGGTTTGGGTTTTTTGTGGGTTTTTTTAGTTTTGTATTTTTGGGGTTTTTTTTGCTGCAATGCTCTGGACTTCCAGTTGGACATTTCAACCATTTCAAATTCCATGCTGGGTCTTTAATAAACATTGTCATTTATTTTGATTACGGAAAGCTCCTTTATTTCAAAGAGAACAGTTTATTCATGGCGAAGTTTTTTTCATGCCCATTGAAAAGAGTTAGCATCAAAAAAAGAAAACCAAAAGGGAAAAAAAAGGCTTGGATACATGCAAATCATACTGAATGTTGCCAAATGTATTAAAATGAGTAGTAGAGTTTCCTCTAAGTTATCTACGTGCGTACAGAGGAGAAACAACCGACAGCATAAAGCTCCTCCAGAAAAAACTTCTTGGTGCAGGGATGGTGAATGAACCGAGACAAAGAGCCAACTGAAAATTCTGCGTTTGCACCCAGAAGAAGCAAAGCCAGAGGGTCATTGCTGCGAGCCAGGAAAACGATGCTGGGAAGCTGGTCAGGGATGGGCTTTGAACAAACAAAAAAGGGCTCCCTCTTAGCCCAGGGAGTCATGTTTGGTCCTTTGAATGGGAAGGGGAGGAAGTTTTTTCAGACTTTCCTGCCCTCTCCCCCGTTTAAGAGCAAATGAAATTCTCGTTCAAAAGCCAAAGTGCCCATTCCAGCGCTGCTGCTCTGAGGTGATCCATTTCCATCAAAAATAACATAAAAGCAAAACTACATCTTTTAGAAAAAAAGCAAACCAACGTTTTAGAAACAAAGCACTTCTGGTCCAGGACGGATGGATGCACCAAGAGACCCAATAGCCTTTCTGAGGCTTTGAGCCTTCGGCTGGCTCTGTCCCTCAGCGGCAGTGATACCGGGATGAACCCCAGGATTGCTTTTTCTTTTACAAAATTTCAGTATTGTGATCTCTTTTGTCAGCAGCAGCAATGAACCCGGGCTGTGCCCAAATTTTGCAGATCGCTCCCCAAAATGGATCAAATACCCTCAGCGTTGCTGGTGCAAGCTCGTTAAAAGCTCTGGAGTTCTTACAGCAGCACGGCTGGTGGGAAACTGGATTTTACATCTGAATAAATACTGGGCAGGCACAAGCACCAGCCTGATTTCACTAAGGCTGGAGAGTGAGAGCGGCGTCCAGGCACGCTGCGGGCTGGGATTTAGCTCCGCATGAGGAAAGCAAAGCTCTCCCTCTAGGCTGGCTCGCAACATTAAGAGAAACACCCCTAGTTCTGTGTGATCAGACTTTCGTTGTATCTCAACAGAGACGCTGTTCACCAGCAGCTCCAGAAGTCAGGACTGGGAAGGATTTAAGGTTTATCTCGGTGGCAGTTCCTCTTCGGGGTGAGTGCGCTCTGTCTGTCGGGGTGTGGCGAGCTCCAGCGCTCAGGAAGGGCAGCCCTTCCCCACAAGGGCTGGGCACCTTTCTTCTCCCCTTTTGTGCTCTTCTAAGAGCCTCACGTTAGACCACCTCGGAGATGTGGTTTTTTTGAGAGGTTAAAACGCACAGCACATCACTAATGTTTAAAAATACCCGGCCAGCTTTTATAAAACACAAGTACTCAACGCGATCACCTTTACGTGTTCTTTGAAAAGAAAGAGGCTGACATTCATCGTACGGGAGGAAGGCAGCAGTCTGGACTCCTGAAGCATCCCCCCAGGTGAATCGATCCTCTGCCAAGACCTCCAACACCAAGATCTTGGTTTTGTCATCTTTGCTCAATGTGCCCATCCAAAAGCCACGGAGCTGGACATCATGTCTGTGGTGTCGCAGCATCTTGCTCTGAGTGGAAGAGTTCCCCAGCCTCAACTGTCCTGTCTGTCTTCTGCAAGCCTGTGTTGTCCGGTCCAACTCGCAGGTCCTCCTGGCTGTCGGCCAGGCCATCTTGGCTCTCCAAATCGCTCACCTGACCCTCACCAAACTCCAGAATGGTTGGCAAGTTGCCTTGCTTTGGGCATCGTCTCTTTAGGCTGACCAAGAAGGGTTGCGGCAAGGAGAATATGTCCACGTTGTTGCCAAGGTCAATCCAGGTGACACTGGGGAACTTCTTGGGGTCCTTCAGGGTTTCGGTGAGGTCCCGCAGGATGGCTTTGGTGAGCCGGTTGCCGTTGAGAGAGAGGGTGGTGAGGTGGGGCAGCACGCAGAGCGCCGGCAGCAGCTGCAGCAGCATGTCGTCCGTCAGCTCCGTGAAGCACAGCTCCACCGTGTCGATGTGCTCCGAGCTGTGCTGGAGGTAGGACGTGACGCGGTCCAAGTCCTTCAGCGTCAGCGGGATGCCCGACAGGTCCACTGTGTTGTCCTGAGGCTTCCCCATCAGGACAGCTTTCAAGCTGTGGGGTAAGAAAAGGAGAAGGACATTAATGTGGGGGGATGTCTCTGCTTGGTGGCATCAGTTGGGTTCCTTGGTTGCTCTCGGAGGGGAGGCACCAACATGAGTTATTCAGGTAGGATGATCAACTGGGGCCAACCATCTCTCTGTCTCTAGAGGCTAGGAATATGTCTGTGCAGCTGCAGGGCAGAGAGACCTTTCAGGGGTGCTTACTGAGAGAAGACGGCCAGAAACAAGGAGACCATATTAAAAAAAACATAACTCAGGAAGTTGCAGCGTTCTTTATTACAACTACTGCAAAATCCAGGATGAAAGAGGCTATCCTCCTGCTTTTAAAGGTGCAAAAAAGGATGAGGAAGACCTTGACTAGATGGACAGGAATTGGTGGTGCTGGTGTACCACTCCTCATGCTGCTGATTACGAAGCTCTTTGAGCAGGAGGACGCGTGTTTGTCCTCTTGTCTGGACAGGTGGGAAACAGAGATCCCAACCCAAGACAGGAAATCCAGGATAGACACCTTCAGGGTTGGGTGATTTGATCCAATATTCCCAGTCTATTAGACCTGTTCTGTCTCTTCAGTCTAGCTCCTGAGGAGATGAGCACTATGGAGAAATCCTTAGATAAATAAATTAATTCTCACAATGGCCCTACAGAGACTCATTAGCATGAGCCAGACTGGAGTTTCACAGGTCAGTTTATCTTCTAAAGCAAATCAAAGAATCCATCTTACACTGAGGACTTGCAGGCAGACTAGCGCTGCTGAGGACTTTTTGCTAACGAATTAATCTGAATGAACAAGGAGCTGGAAGGAGCCTCAAGCGTGCTAATTGCTCACATCAACTTGGTGAGCACACACGTCTCATCTGCGGTGGTGGCACACATGTGAGCCTCATGACAAACCAGCCGGCTGCAGAAACGCTGGAGAACAGGGGATGGATCCTGGGAAACAGGAGAACAGGGATGTATCCCTGTTAGGGAGGACTCCAAGGAGGTGGGTGACCTCAGGAGGGGCAAGATCTACAGGAACAAACCCAAACCAGCTGGCAGCAGAGGGAAACACGTCTCCTTATGTGTACAGCATCAGGAGCAGAGACATCAGGGAGCAGCAGCACACTGGGGCTTTACGGCTCCATTATTTAATTAATATATGCTTTCACTTCTCCAGCTCAGAGGAAATCCAAGAGGGTCTGTCCCCTGGCTTTGCAGGAAGAGCTTTTGCCGATACAAACTGAAGCGCCAGCACAGAGCTCTGCCCTTGCAGGGTCCTACAGAGCCAAGTGGGATTTTTGGGTTATGACACAACATCCTTCTGTGGGCACAGGCAATCCAGCGGGAACCGAAAGCATGGCTGGGGGCTCCAGGTCGCCGCGCTTGCTTGGGGCATCCTATCCAGGGTGTTGTGGTCTGAGGAGGAGAAACCAAACCAGCCCGTGGGGAAGTCAGTTATGTCCCGGTGGCTCAACACATCAAGGCTCTCACAAAACTCTCCCTTGCCCTGAGGAGCCATTTCACTGCTGTGGTGGCACTTCACGGACTGCTGGGTCAGCCGAAACGCACCTCCGCAGCCATTTAACAACAGCCTCACTGAGCCCCCCACGGGGTCTCCTTCAGCCCGTATGTGGGCAGAGAGACAGCTGTTAATGGGCCGTTGCTCTCTCTACTTGTGAGTTTTTGGCAACACTGGGAAAGAAACCAATGAAATAATGTATTTATAATTTTAGAAGATATTAAATTGATGTTGTTAATTTGGCAGTGACTTCTCTCCTGTATGTACGGCTGCATTATTTTTTTGGAACCTGCCGGCTGGGGCCAAGGCGATGCCTCGGTAGCAAGCTCTAGCTCTTTCTGTCTAAAAAAAAAATCCCAAAATTACTCTTATCTTGCAGTCTTTGAGCACCAAAGCTGGTTATAGCAGGATCTCGCTGTCAAATAAAGCACAAAGTGTCCCTGCGAATAGGTGATAACCATTTAAGAGGATGGCTAAAATAAGCACCTTGGGTTTGGTCCTGGGTTTATCCAGCCTGGCTGGATCCCCCGCACAGAGCGGTGCTGCCCGCCTGCCCTCATGGAACTGCTCCTGGGCCTTCTGCTGCTGCTTTAATTTAGCAAAACCAAGAAGATAACAAAGGAGGAATGGGGATAACTTCAGGGCAGCTTTTTTATATTTATTTATAAATTTATTTTGTTCTGAGCTGCTTTCAATATTGCTTCATATTTGTGGGATTTTTTTTTTCCCTTGGAGCATGCCTCCAATTTCTGTCAGTAAGTAGAAGAGAATTTCTCACTCGGGCTCTATCCTTTTCCCCTTGAGAGGGATTTAGCTGATACCGACTGAAACGGATTGATTACCCTGTACAAATAGCCTTTTCACCCTGATGCTCTGCAGCCTGTACCACAGGCAGAGGTTATAATCTCCCCTGTGCTGGTGCTGGGAGATGCTGTGCTGCATTGCAGTCCCATGGGAAACCCACTCCAACCAGGATTTGATTAAAAAAAAAAAATAAAATAGTTCTGTAGCTATTCTGAACCAGCTCATGGAAATGAGGATCATATTATGTTAACAAACAGGCGTAAAAACTTTTACCCCTGCCATAAAGTTTGCCACAGAAAAGTCCCAAAGCTCTGGAAGAAAATCTTACCATTAAACAAATCCCTCCCAGCTTTGGAGGATCAGTTATACCCACTTAGTTTCATCCTCATGTTTTATGAGGGTAGGGGAAGACGGATTTTTTTTTTCCTCCCCCCAGTTGGGAACAGTATCTGGGGTTTTGGCCAATGTGACAGCAAGATTGGGTGACAACCCTGTGTCGGGATGCTGATTTAGACTCATTTAGTCTGAACTGAAAGCTAGTTTGCATGCAGTATTGAATCGGGGCAGAAAACGTTCCCAAGAATATTGATGTTTAGATCACAGAGAATTCAAAGAAAAGGATTTCCTCTTGGTTTAAATTCATTACATCGCCCTAAAGCAGTGCGGGACATGGGACGCTGATGTGTCACGTAATAAAGTGTAATGGGGCTATTGAGCCACTTCCTTGGAGGGCCAAGGAATAGCTCAGGAAAAAGGAAGAGAAGGCAGCTCCATTCAGCGAAGAATTACACTATTTACGCAGTTGTCAGCCAAAAAAATATTGAACGTAATGAATTGTCAGAAAAAAAAGTGAAGTCTTGAGCTAAAAGACTTGTCCTGAAATACTGTTGGTATCAAAGATAAGCATTAAATTGCTTTTTCAAAGTCCTGGTGCTGCTTCAAATGCAGAGAGTCAAACACTGGAAGAGATGTTTTGGAAACGGAGGGAAGGGAATACAAACAAACACATGTAATCTGTTAGTAATAATGTTGACAAAAGCGTTGAGCTCCCCCAGCCTCGAAGGAAGAACAGAGCCCAGAAAATACAACTATTTAGCTTAAATAAGGAATGTGACTGAGCTGTAGATAATAATAATAATGTAATATTATATATAATCTTATATATTACATATATGTGCAATACAATGTATATATAATAATAAGGATGAATAAAAGATGAGAATAGACTCCATCTCCATGCATGAGCTGAGGGACACCCACCGGCGCCGAAAGACTGAACTCCCAGCAGATAAAAGGGAAGGCGCGT